CTGTAAGGTACCCCTATGTTGATGAGGGAGGTAAACTTACCGTCAGGGAAGACTTTTTGAGATTCGTAGACCCCCGGGATGTTCTAGAGGAACTTGAAGCTGCTGCTGCAGTCCCCCATCTTGACGACAACTCTGGTGACGAGGAGAGAGTAGACGATCCAGGTGATAGTGATGGCGATACTGCGGAGGAAGACATGGAAAAAAACTTACAGGGGTGAAGCTGGGGAAAATAACTGTGCAAGTTATGATAGAGGCTGGGCTCGATCCCAACTGTTGTGTTGGTATTCGGGCCGATGGGTGCTCTGTAAATATGTCAGAAAGCGTCGGAGCAGTGCAAGAAATACAGAAAACAGCCAAAAGTGCTATGAGGTGTCCCTGCTTTAATCATGCTCTCAACTTGTCCATTTCAAAGTCATCAGCAGTGCCATCTGTAAAAAAAACAATACACACAATGAAAGAGATCGGTGCCTTATTCAGAGCCTCGTCTAAGAGACACAGAAGACTTGAAAAAATACTCCAACGTAGATTGCCTTCACTGTGCGAGTCAAGATGGGTGCAAAGGCATGACGCAGTACTCGTTTTCGTAAATGGATTACCTAAAATAATCGAGACTCTTCAGATCATGTCCCGCTGGGATGACGCCGACACTGCCAACAAAGCCAGTACCCAATTGACTAATCTTCGTCAGCCAGAATTTTTGATGACGCTGCTTTCTTTACAAGACGTGCTGGCCAGCACAATTTCGCTTAGCCGATATTTACAGAAAGAAACAATTGAGATGCAGCAAGCTTCAGACGCAGTTCAGGACACCATAAGTATTCTTGAAGACAAAAGAAGAAATTCGGAGGAAATTTTCGGGGTTCTCTTCAATACAGTCTCTGAATTGTGTACTAAATATGACATACAGATCACTTTACCGAGGGCAGCAGGCCGTGGCCGTCATCCTATACAGGACAAAGAAGCATATTACCGCCAGACCATATACAATCCCATGTTGGAAAACATCATCCAAGATCTACAGCAACGATTGAATGCAGAAGTTTTGCAGTGCTTTGATTTGAACAAACTTTTGCCATCAGAAGCACTAAATTGTGATGATAACAAAGCAAAGCAACTTCTTTGTAAGTTTGCTGCGAAGTATTCTCATCTCCTGGAAACGCCAGAGCACATTTTGCTGCAAAATCTAAACGTAATTATAAAATCTGAATCTGCACTTATTAATTTCAAAAGAACCGTTTAAATTACAAGTCACAATCTTACCTTTTTTTTCAGGCTGAATGGGCTCTTTGGCGGGCCAAGTGGCGGAGGGAGCGAGAAAAAGCAGACGGAACTCCTCTGCCAAAGTCATACGTCGAGGCCCTGGAATTCTGTGACGTGGAGTTATTCCCTAATATACGGGCTTTGCTCTTAATTCTGCTGGCTCTTCCCTCAAGCGTGGCGACGGCCGGGCGCTCGTTTTCGACTCTACGTCGGGTCAAAACTTGGCTTCGTTCAACAATGACTACCAGTAGACTTGCTGGCCTTGCTCTCTTGAGTATACATAGGGACATACCTATAGATAAGAGCGAAGTTATTAGAAAATTTTCAGAAAAAAACAAGACAAGGCAAAAAAGGCGCTCTCTTTGAACTTACCTTACTGACTGCTGACTGATGGTACCTGTGTCTTACTCCTTACACTTCTTATTGTTAATTTCGATTAAAATAAACAATTTTTCTTGCAAAGTTTGCACAATTTTGGTATCTTCTTTTTAAAAAAAGACCCTTTAACAACACCTCTATGAAATATGGCCTTTTGTTGTTAATTTGCGGGGTTACCCTTTTCCTTTTGGCCCCTAGGAGGTAGGAAACCCGCAACACCCCCCCCTGTAAGGTACCCCTATGTTGATGAGGGAGGTAAA